TCCCCTTGAGAACCCCGTGGAGGCCGAGGACGATGGGTCCGTCCAGCGCGACGAGCCCGACGAGGACACCCCAACAAAGGCCCCCGACAGCCCCGCCTCCACGGATAAGTCGGAGCTAGACGTGTCTTCCCCAGCCCCATTCACCACACGGCAGTTGGCCACCAAACGGTCCAGCACCCTCTCCGCGCCCTCCGCCACCCCCCCGGCGAAGTCGGACAGCAAACGCAGTAGGGCGAATTCGGCCTCCGCGAAGAAAAAACACAAAAAGGAGTCGTCAAAGGAACCTCGGCCAGCTTCGAAAGTTCCAGCGGTGAAAGAAACACACACCATGTCTAATCGAAAAAAACCGTTGGAATCCTCTCCGGACTCCGCACGTTCGATATCACCCAGTCGAAGCTTGAGTCTTAAACATGATCAGCACCTCCTGATGATTCAATACATTAAAACAAACAACGTGAAAAAGTGTCTCTCGAATTTCACAAAAAGCGATCTACAGAAATTCTTGCATTCGGAAGGAGTGAACCATGTCTCAGAGGAACTAAGCAAGAAGCAACTTTTGGATGAGGCACGAGCCATAGTTTTTAAATAATCAACAGCAAGGTATTATCAGAATGGGGTGAAGGGGAGAAAATAAAGAAAAAAATATAGATATAAGTGAAGTAAGTCAGTTCTAAAATGGTGAACTGAATAAGCATAATGCTGTGAAAAGAAGGTAGAAGTAGAACACAGAAAAGAATGAGTTGGGGTAAAGATGAGAATAGGCACTTTTAAAAAAAGGGTTTAAAAAACACGTAATAGATGGCGAAGTGTAATCTTTGAGCACAGATTCTGACTCATCAGTAGTTTATCTCATTATTGTTAATATCATTTAATTCTTTTTAGTTCTGGAATAAATTAATGAGTTGGACTGCATCTTTTTTACAGGTGTTACTTTCCCTCCTTTTCACGCTAGATTAACTTTTTTTTTTTGATATAGAAACGCAGTACTACTTGTCTTTCTTTAGACATTAGCATTATTATTATAACGCTTGTTCATGAAATCCTAACTAGATCATTTTCAATAATTAAGTACACATACATATGGTCAAAAATGTTTGCTCTTATACACTTTAGGGGTTCACTTTAACCCAGTGATCTTACTGATTTTTTTATTCGCTCTTCTTGTTAACCCTTTCCATTACTTCATTTCTACTTTTATCCATTTTTAGTTTAATTTCTGCATTCTTGGGATTTCTTAGCACTATTATTTTTTAATCTTTTTGAATCCAATCCCCATTTTGTGACATTTGGTTTCTCTTAATCCTTAGAACATAGACTGACAACACATTTTATTACTCTACAGATAAATTTATTCAAGTCAGTTTTTTTTTTGCACTAAATCAATTTTTGAAGGATCAAGGCAATATAGATATACATATACATCACTCTTATATCGATTTAAATAATTTCACAAATCTTCAGCACAGTAAATTTCTGATATTTACACTATAATACAACATTTTTCAAACTAGTGAGCGTGTTTACTAAATATTATGATGGTGGGAACTGAATCTCAGGACGAGGCGAACATGCGTATTCAGCAACTGCGCGAAAGGCTGGAGTTGTACAACGCTACTATCAATAGGGTTGTGGGTGCGGGATCAGCTAGCACAACTAGCGACGGAGCTGCTAAGCGGAGTGAGACGCCCAAGAACGGCGCCGCGGTATCGAATTCTTCAAATCATATCGATACACATTGCTTGCTCCCCAAAGCAATGGCATTCAACACTGCCTCTCAGAAAACCTATGGTCCAACTAAATTAGCATCACATCTAAAGAAAACAAATGATAGCAGGGGTGGTAACACATTGAATTCGCTCAAAGGTCCGACCGAAAGCCCTATTAAAAAAAATAAGAAACTATCCCTCCTTAAAAAGACACTAAATGGTGATGAGAAATCCCACACGGAATTCACTGCGTTGGTATCGAAAGAGCATATCGACAAAGAGGGTAAATCGGAACCGGCACTCGCGGCACCTACGGTGTCCGTGGCCACCGCTAAGTCCCTAACACCGGAACCGGCAGTATATTCTGATTTTATAGATACCGACGAAACGAAGGCCTCCAATACTGGTGAATCACCATCAGTGCCCTCCGCTACAGTTAATGATGATACTCAGAGGAAAGCACCCCTGGAAACCACCTGTAGGAACCATACCCACCAAACGCCATTTGTCGGTAGCAAACCCATCCAAGGCTCTCCATCTAGTCGCGTTCCGCCAATCCCAGCCGTCTTTCAGACGTCAAGTACGTCAAGTATGCGTCCAACCGCGGCGCATCGTCTATGGAACCTCCCTTCCACAACGGGCGACGCCGGACATGAAGAGGGTGAGCACAAAATTAATGAAAATAATGTGAGCTCGGAAGACACCTCCACGAACGAGATTGACAGCGAAAACTCTTCTAGCGGTGAAGAGATATTTAACAAGTTTTTAGAGAAAATACTGGCCGTAAACCCTTCGATGGAAAACGCGGTGCAAGAAACTTTGTCGAATTCCTACTCTTTCCTAAAGCACACGGCGTTTAGGGAAGTTCATGCTAATCGTAAAGCGGGCAGTGAAAAAAATCCAAAAAAGGTAGATCGCTTCACGCCATCACGGACATCGGCGAAGCATCTGGATACGCCGGGAATCACAGGGCGAGCGAACCTTCCCAATCGCGATCCCTCACGTTATAGCAATCCTCAATCTACCCCAACGGAACCCAACTCCTCCACGTTTTTATCCAAATCAGCCTCCGAGCCCCTTTCCCCAGTACGCGAAGTGGAGGACATCAAGAGCGAACATCACCCTCTCCGTCACAAGGAAGGGCCACTGTTGAGTGAGGCCTCCAATGACACAGGGAAGGTCCAACCCCGAAAGGTCCCAGCCCCAAAGGTGGCCTTTGATCAGCTCGAAATCGCCTTTCAGAATTTAGAGGCGGTGGTGCACACAATGCAGAAGGTGTACCGGCCAACAGGGCTCACAGCATTCCCTCAAGATTTGCCGCAAGCCGAACATGCCGCCGCCCTTGCATCCGTGCGGGACCGGCTAACTCGAGAAGAGGCTGAGCTCCGTGTAAATCCGCCAAAGGGCCCGTCCTTGGAATATGTGAGGGAGACATCAGGGGTGCAGGTGGAGGGACTTGCACGGCGGCTCATTCAAGAATGCGAGAAGGCAATGGATTCCCTCAAGGACGTCGAAGAGCGTCGCTGGAAGCTGCAGGATCGACGTCAGTGCCTTGAAATGCGTCGAAACGAATTGAAAGAGCGGCAGAAGTCACGCTCTTTGATTCTGGATGAGATCGAGCTACTACAAAAGCAAAACAATGAGCATGCTGCAGCTCTACGCGATCGCGAAAAGAAATACCTGGAGAAACTAGTGGAGCACAGCGCTCAAGAAAAGGACATCCAGGATCGGATCGGTGAGGTGGAACAGCTTGGCCACAAGATTACATCGTGGCTACGCATCCTAGAAGACCGGGATACTAATCTGTCTGCAAAAGAAGAAAAGTTGCGCCGTGTACAAGCTGACCTCCAGCGCCGAATTAAAGATGTACAGGCCTACAAGGAACTAAAGAATCGCCTCGAGACGCAGGCTCTGCGGAGGGAAATCACCTCGGATTGAGGGCGTCAAACCCCTCATCGACGATAATAATGGTAAACAGAAGGAGTATTTTTGATGCTCACAACGGTTTAACTATTTCAATGCATGAGTAAGTGGTATTGAATAAAATTATTTTTCGTGTGTTTCTATGTGCAAATAGTTACTTTGTTTTCCTCCTGAAATGGACAATCAGAACGGAAGGGGCTATATTAATTCAAACCCACAATCCGTTTAGTGACCTCTCACTTACAAAAGATATAAAAGAAAAACACCATCTGGGAGGTTTTTCGGGGAGAAGGGAGGGGAAGGGGGGGTAACAGTGTAACACTCATCTCTCAATATGTTTGTGGTGATGCGTATATTATGTTATCATTTGCATTGTTTCTTCTCATACACAAATGCGATAGTGTCATTAGACATCAAACTAAAAATCAACGATATTACTTTCCTTTTTTTACAGGAATGGTAAATTTTTCAATGAATATCGAACAAACTCAACGAGATAGTTGTCACGATCACTTTTTTTTTACTAAAATTTTCTTTTTATTCATTTCCAGTTCCTTTTAAATAATAAAAAAATTGGTATTCAACTAAATCAAGTGTAATAAAAATGCCTGGAAGGGAGAAATCGAAGCGCCTTAGTAAGCGCAGCAACCCACTTGGCGAAGATCTCCATATGGATCGCTTCGCGACTTTGAAGCGACCCTTAGCCGAGGATGATGCTATGGAGGATGATCCTGAGAGCAATAACTTTTTGATATCCAACCGCACTACGCAACGAATCCTCAAAACAGCGAAGGCTCAACTAGAGTACATATCGAGTGAGACAGATAATAAAGAACTTCCAAACGACAATGACGATGAAGAAAACGTGGTAACAACAGATGTAGGGCTACGGGAAATGCTCGAGGGCGCCACTTCAACTAGCGATTATTTTGAGTTTGAGGGGGGCGAAGACAACAATAAAGAAGTGGAGCTAGAGTACGATGACTCCGAATCGAATATGTCGGAGATGCCGTCCGAGGTTCCCGAAATGGGGGGCGACCTCTATGGTATTGATGAAGAGGAATCTCGCATCCTGCAACGCTTTCAGCCGAAATCACGAATTCAAACTCGTCAACTGGCTGACATCATTATGGAACATATCAAAGAAAAAGAATCTAATATGGTTACCCAAACACAGTCACAGTCTGCAGGCGCTCCACAATCGAATGAAGAAGATGACAAAGAACGAATAGACCCCCGTGTTTCTCGGGTATACACCACGATCGGCAGTGTCATGAAGCGATACACCTCCGGCAAAGTCCCGAAGGCGTTTAAAATTTTGCCAAACATCAAAAATTGGGAGCAGCTGCTCATGCTCACAAAGCCAGATCAGTGGTCCCCGCACGCCACATACCAAGCCACGCGTATTTTTGCAGCCAACCTGAACGAATGCATGGCACAGCGTTTCTACGCTGCCGTGCTGTTGCCTATTGTTCATGCCCATATCCAGGAAAATCACAAACTACACCCGGCTCTGTACATGGCAGTGCGGAAGGCGCTCTTTAAGCCCGTTGCCTTTTTTAAAGGGTTTCTACTTCCCCTGGCGACCGATGAGGAGTGCACGCTAAAGGAGGCCTTGATCGTGGCCAGCGTTTTGCAGCGCTCCCACCTCCCGCCGGTCCCCACGGCTGTCACCTTAGTTAAGATCTCACAGCGGCCCTTCTCTGGGCCCTGCGCGGTGTTTTTACGTGTTCTCATCGATAAAAAGATGGCGCTGCCATACCAAGCCATTGACGCCTTGGTTTCCTATTTCTATCGGTTTATTCAAACCCATCCAAAGGAAGAGCCCCTCCCGGTACTATGGCATCAAACGTTTCTCTCCTTCACTCAGCGCTATAAAAACGATCTGCAGGTGAAGCAGCTGCAGATGCTCTCACAAGTTTGTGGCGTGCATTTCCATTACATGATAACACAGGAAATTAGGAGAGAAATCGCAGCCGCGATGCGTGGCAAAACGGTCCCTGCGCAATCATGAGATGGATTTTATTAGTAAAAAGGTGGTTATGCAGTAGTCGGTACGGTTTTGATGGATGTTTATGGGGTTCAGACTATTTAATGAATTTAGTGCCTAAGTCTCTGTTTTTTTTATATTGATATTTTCTTGTGGTTGTGTCATTAAATATAACATTAAGAAAAAAATCTAATCGTGTAAATAAGCTCAAAAGGCAAATTTAGTGCTATTGTTGCCTTTTTGTCTATGGGGTTCCACCCTTCTTCAGCTCCAACCTCGTCCTTTTCATCATACTCTGCAGAGGAAAGAGAGGAAGACACAACGTGTTTTGTATTCATACTGACAACCACTTCGCACAGTGTTAAGCCCCTGTTACCAAAGTAACCCTTATTTATGTGCCCTTTTGTTCTTTTTTTTTGTCTTTCTGTTGTATCCTGTATCACACTTTGTCGCTAAAGACATTGTAAGAAGGATAATGATTAAGATTAATTACTCTTCAACTACGCTGAGAAAGTTTGACTTCGCTTTCGTGAGCACCTATCCTGCAATATGGTCTGCGCGGAGACTAATTCGCACAACAATAATTAAATCGGCTCCAAAGCCCCTGCCAATAACATATCCGGGAAAAAAAAACTACCACCTCCGCCACCACTAGCGCGATTTAATCAAAAACAATCCACATCATCCTCTTCAGGTACGACAACGCTGCCGTGGAAGACGCTAGATGAAATTCTTTCGGTTTTTGTTGAGTATGTGCCTACTTTCTATGTTCCAATTCATGGTGTCGCGGCTATTATGCCAGAGGAAATCCGTACCTACTTTCAAGGTCGTGGGAAGCTGATCAGCTTCTTGCGACGTCACCCTTTTTTATTCGACATCCGAAATCTAGAATGTGTCTCGCGCCTTGATGTGCGGTTGCAAAAAGAAGTCAACCACCCACGATGCGGTGCCGCAGATCATAAGTTTATGATGACGGATATCGGTGTCGTCGAAAGTTATGTTGCCAAGCCGGAGTTCATTCTGAGCATGGATTCTATTGAGAGCACCAATAAGGGTGTTTTCTTGCATCCACAGTCCGCGCCGCCTGCCATTCGGGTGAAGCTGGAAGAGCGCATGCCGGTCCTAGACCGGCTGGTGGCCCTCATTCCGGTTGATTTCGAGCTTGTGAAAAAGGTTGAGGAAAATATTCCAGATGATATTATTTTTCATCCATACTTCGACTGTCAAGGTGGGCTCGCCTCGATCGCCAGTAAGTTCCCTGATGACTTCCAGGTTGTGGACGGTAAAATCCGAAGACGTCCTCCGCACTTGGCTCCCCTATCTCTCAATGACTTCACACTCAAGCAGTCACCTATCCCAGAGATCGCGTCGCTTGTGGAACGCGAAGTGTGTGATACAAATATTCCGCGCTGGGTGAACATCACCTCGCTCTACGAGCAGCTAACACCGCAACAGAAACGGGAAGTAAAGCAGGTCTTTAAAAGTTTTGCAAGATTTCTACGTGCACATGGCAAGTCTGTCTCTGTATCGCAAGATATGCTGTGTGTTTCAATGTGGATCCCACCGATGTCTTCCTCCATAGATACGGCAAGTGATCAACACTCCTCTTCCACAAACAGCGCCAATGCAACTGCGCTGGGCGGTAACGAGCCTTGTATAAGTAAGGCAAAGCCCCCTTGTATCACAACTAACGAATCGGATCCTGTGGACGTGAACACTTTAGAACACCAGAAGCCTTTACGCCACGATGGCATTCCACCACACATACATGCGCCGCACCTTCAGTTGATACAAACAACATCGAAACGCACTTTTCAGCTTCAAGTCATCAATGAGCTCTTTGATCGCTTTCCAGCGCATCAAACGTTGAATCTTGTGGAAGCCTTGCAGCTACTACCCGATTCGCTACAACAAGGCTTACCCAAAGGCATCCTCAATTGGATTAGTTGTCATCACGACTACTTCGTGGTTGATAATCCCGATGAGAAGGATCCGTTGGCGGTTCGCATCCAGCGTGTGTCGGATCGCCAGCCTCTAGACATCGTCCGCATCCTTTACCAAGCCATGCAACGACTTCAACAACATGAAAGGAAAGAGTGCACGGTGTCAGTTGAGGACCTTATCAAGACCTTAAACCCGACAGATCAGCACATTGTTACACAAATGGGGATTGGGAAGGTTGTCAATCTATTACCCGAGTGGTTAAAACTTGAGCCCGCCCCACACGTACTTTTCAAGTCAAGTCACATCCCAACGGAGGAGGCTATCGCGCGCGGCGATTACTGCCTGCGGCAACTGCGCTCCTTGGTGGAGTTGGAGGAATCGACTGCAATTGAACGAGAAGAGCGCATAGGGCTATGGAATGACTCGAAAAAGAACAACGAGGGAAATAGGTAGTAAATTCACGTCGCCGTCCTGATCGCTGTGTACTATCTAGAAGATGATGTGCCT